ATAATCCATTATAAATCCCTCATTTTAGAGTTGAAGAAACAGTTAAGAGGAGGTTAAGATATTTGATCATGTGCAAGTGTCAAGGCTAGTATCTTGAGCTCATAACTCCCAGTCCAATGTCTCTTCCAACAGTCCATGGAAATGACATGATATAATAAGGACACATAAAATAGTCTGGAAAAACATAAGAAAACTTGGAAAAATATAGTAAGAGAAATTTATGGGACACTTGAAACATGTTTCCTTTTAATCCCTTTAAAAATAATTTTGAAAAAGTTGCTTCCATTCCAAACTCTTATTTTCTTCACTTATATTTTCAATTTCTTAGATATAAACATAGTTAATTTCTTCTTTCTTGTCCTCTTTTTATGATTATTCAAGGCTTATTAAATGTCACCTATGTAAACTATCCTTTATTCAAGTTTTTTCAAGATCCTTAAGGTGAAAATAATGTTATGCTCATTTTACAACTGAAGAAATATACTCAGAGAGATTAAGTAATTGGTCTAGTGTCATATACCTAATAAGTGACAAACTTAGGATATTCTTCTCTGAAAATTTTAGACATTGTCCTTAATTTTATCTCATTTTATTTTTGCCAGTTTTCTTGAAATATAATTGGATATAGCATTATATAAATTTTTGTGTGCAACATAAAGACTTGGTATATGTATATGTTGTGAAATGATATCAAATCATTATGTCTTCAATTCAACATTTGGTCTAAAATTCTTTTAAGGCATTACTCTCTGAAGAGGATCTCAAGCAGACTCCCTGCTGAGCACAGAGCCCTACTCAGGGCTCGATCTCATGACCCTGAGATCATGATCTGATTTGAAATCCAGAGTTGGCTGCTTAACTGAGTGAGCCACCAAGGCACCTCATTTTCTGCATTCTAATATACTATCCCTGTTTCCTCACTTTTATATATAGGCTCATGAGGCATCATGGGAAGTGAAGATTTTTGGAATCAATAGATGCATTTGTCTTTACTGTTATATGTTAAAGTTTTATAAATATTTGAGTAGGGCTAAGTCTCGAATTATTTTGTGAGTCAGTGTGTTTTTCTTTAAACACCTTATTTAATGTCAAAATTATTATCATGAGTCTTCTAAAATAGTGTTTCATTATTCATCTACATTGAAGGACCAGCTCTTAAATTTTCGGACATTTGCAGAATGATATATTCATAAAATATGGCAGAAATTTCATGGTAATGTAAAATTGCTATAACAGTTTCCAAGTAATTATTCTCTTTACCTGTACTTATACCATTTCAGACTAGTGCCACAAAGTTATATAGAGCAGTGTTATGTTTCACGGACTGTGTACACATATTAGCTGAAGAGCACATAACACTGCAGATTCTATTTTAGTAGGCATATGGTGAAGCCAGAGATTCTGCATTTTAGCAAGTTCCTAGGTGGTGCTGTTCCCTATTCATATTTGGAATAGCAATTCCTGCAAAGCAGAGACTGCAGCAATGATTAAAGTGGCAACACTTTATTTGGGAGTTCTATGCCCATGGGAGTTTGAGTGAGAAATAGTAGGTAATGAAGGAGAAAGGAAAAGAAAGCAATGAGGTATTGTTCTTTTCCACATTCACTACAGGGAGTTAAGAGTCAACAAGTTGCCCTGAAGTGTATTCACAAGGCATCAGCTTTTTCATGAAGGTTGCAAGCAAGAAATCAATTTTTAAAGAGAAAAAAGAGAAAGGATTATCTTCAAAGCTGCCCACTTTTTACCACAAGGACAGCTGTCTCAGCCATGCTTTTGCATATCATCTCTGACCTTGAGTGGCTGCTCAGAATTCAGATCCTTTTTCTCATGATGGGGTAGTTCAGCCAAACCCAAAAGTGGAGGGAGCCATCTAAAGCAGGAAAGCTATTGACCGAGAAAATAAAACAAACAAACAAACAAGAAACAGAATCATGTCTAAGAAGGCACACAGGTTGTGCCCAATACACATTCCAATAAATAAAGTATTTCCTTCCAAGATTTATTTTCCTCCAGAATATGTGGCACCATCTGATGACAGTCATACATATTACCATTGGAAGACATATTTTATACACACACACACACACACACACACACACACACATGTATATATATATATATATATATATATATATACACACACACATAGTGTAAAACTCATTTTCTTTTTATGTTTTCTTATCACAGAGTATGATACTTGATGTCAAAGACTGTCTATTTTTTCTCTCTAGCTCAAGAATAATGCTTAACACATAGTTGCCGAATAACTTGTTAGCAAACAAATGTTTCTATGAATTTAAAAAAGTATTTTATAAAGAGATTAAGTAAAAAGTTGAATAGTTAAAATGATTATTCTTTAATCTTGATTATATAATTTTTCCTATAGGGAGACATTACTATGCCAATTTTTCAAATCACAGAGTTATGCAGAAATTGGCCTGATGAAAGCTTTGGATTAGCATGTCATTAGCTATTGCAGTTTAACTAACCAAAGCCCAAAATTAGTTAGGTTTGTATTTAGTGCAATTTTGTAACAAATTATTGAGGTTTTGGAAAATAATGTCTCCCAGTCTAACAGGAAGGGTTAAATTTTGAAAGAAATGAGCACATATATTTTACTGAATTTTTATATTTTCTTGTTATTTAAAAAGCAATTTCAATCATATTCAATATTGTCAGTAGAGGGATTAGTATGATTAATGTCCTTGTATATGAATTTTTGAAAATGGGAATATTTTCACTAAAGTTAGAATTTTTTGGTTTATTTATTTATTTATTTATTTGACAGAGAGAGAGAGAGAGAGAGAGAGAGATCGATCACAAGTAGTCAGAGAGACAGGTAGAAGGGGAGGGGGAAGCAGGATCCTGATGTGGGACTGGATCCTAGGACCCTGAGTTCATGACCTAAGCCAAAGGCAGAGGCTTAACCCACTGAGCCTCCCAGGCGCCCCTCAGATGGCTTAATATCATTCTATGCCCAAGTTTACAAACCTTTTCCTACAGGGTAGATAGAAGCTGATTTTACGATATTTTATCTGGCACTTTAAAGCACCTTATTTTAACATTTTATAATAGCATTAGCATACTGGACAGTGTAGCTTTCTGCCACTATGAATCTCCTTTTCATTTTGTTTAATAACATACTTAACCAGTTATTTCATTTATATAATTTCTTCTTTTTAATATTTTATTTATTTGAGAGAGAGAGAGAGAGAGAGGGAAAGAGAAAATAGGGGAGGAGGGATGGAGGGAGAGGGAGAAGACTTCCAGCTGAGCTAGAAGCCAGACATGGAGCTTGAGTCCAGCATGCCAAGATCATCACCTGAGCCAGAGGCAGTTACTTAACTGACTGAGCTCCCAGATGCCCCTCATTTATATAATTCCTGTTTCCCAATAGAGTGACAGAAAAATCAATTCTAATGTTTCTATGTTTTCAGTTTTTATGCTTATATATTCCTTTTATCAATTTTAAAATGTGATTATTTTTTTCAGTATCTAAAATACAAGATGCAATCATACATCTTATTTCTGTATTTTACACTCCTCTTAGTACCAGACAGTATTATTCACTAATTCACTCATTTATTCTTTCATTAATTGAGTGATTACCATATAAATATTACAACATAAATTACTTCTGGACAGATTGAAAACATTTATCCCCTTACACCTAAACAAGAGATCATTTGGCATTCAGTAAGTACTGTAATATAGAGAGATAGAGTGATTATTTCTGCCAAATAAAAGAACTATTTCAAAAAGTGAAATACCTGTAATGAAAATTCTTCTAGCTTGCTAAGGAACTTCTATAACACATACTTATTTATGTCTTTCCTTGTTAAGAGGATTACTTAAACATTTTACTTAGTTTCCTTTAATACATCTTGTGGTATAAGTAACCTACTAATATAAAACAAGCTGATCCAATATTTGCTTTCCCAGTCCTTCATTAATCTACAGGAAGGAGATTTTAGAAATTGCAAGTTTTAGTCCTAGATTTTTGCATTTAGGTGTTAATAACTTCTTTCATTTACTGAGATTTTTTATCTTTATATATTTTTTCCTTTACCTCATTTGAACATGGCTATAATAGTTGCTATAAAGTCTTTTTCTGCTAATAAAGTCTTTCTTTTTCTGTTATCTTACGTTTTTACCCATTGCTCAGGTTTTCTTGTGAGAATTCCTGAGTATTTCTGATTCTTAATATGCTGTATATGCTGTGCACTTTTGCCTTGTTTCTTTTTTAATATATTTGATTTATTTATTTGACAGAGAGAGAGAGAGAGAGCACAAGCAGAGGGAGAAGCAGGCAGAGGGAGACGGAGAAGCAGGCTCCCCACTGAGCAAGGGAGCCTGATACAGGGCTTCATGCCGGGATGATAACCTTAGCTGAAGGCAGATGCCTAAGAACTGGGCCACCCCGGAGCCCTAGGAGTTTTGCCGTGTACCTTGAACATTTTGAATATTACAGAGTAGATACTGTATATAGGAATATATATAGTATAGGAATATATAGGAATATAACAATTTTTTAAAAAAGCTGACGTGATTAGACACATACTGCATATTCTCTTTTGAGTGACAGATCTAAACTCAGTTCATTTGTTGTTGTTTTTTTGTTGTTGTTGTTTTGTTTTTTATCTGTCCTGCACCTACAGGGCTCAGACAGAGCCAGAAATTTGGGCAGAGTTTATATGTATTTGGTTCTTGTTTCCAGGGTCCCTGCTCACTTTCTAGAATCTATATAATAATGATTTTCTCTCATAGATTTAATCTTCTCATTTCTACAGTCTATTTTTTGTACAATTTCTAGTGCCTCAAGGTGATTATAGGTTTGTTTTTTTTTTTAGATTTTTTTTTTTATTTATTTATTTGACAGAGATCACAAGTAGGCAGAGAGGCAGGCAGAGAGAGGTGGAAGTAGGCTCCCTGCTGAGCAGAGAGCCTGATGCGGGGCTTAATCCCAGTACCCTGAAATCATGACCTGAGCCGAAGGCAGAGGCTTTAACCCACTGAGCCACCCAAGCGCCTCAAGGTGATTATAGTTTTGCTGTTGTTTTGTGATGTAGTCAGAGTTTATAGTGGTTATCTATGGAAGGCTTGGTCTAGTAGGAGATCAATCCATTACCTTGGAAGCAGAATCTACAGCTATGAAATTTTAGGGGAAAATTTAATAAATTTTAGAAAGTCTGAAAACAAAACAAACAAACAAAATAAAGAAGTTTCACTTTAGAAGGATATGGTATGTCTGCTTGGTTGAGACAGAGCGTGAGTTTTACTGATACATTAAGGAAAAATATAGAGAACATAAAATAGTATGTCACAGTGGAGAGGGATATTTAATATATGAATACAGAAAATACCTGAGGATCCTGATCGTCATATTTTAAATGAAAATAAAACATTTTAAAATGTCAAATACATTCTAAAATTTATAGTTTTGAATGCTGGGTATTTGTGTCTTTTTTAAGTACACTTGACCTTTGTTTTGGGAATACAGGTTAATTATTTGGGAACAATAAAATCCTTTCAAGGCTTACTTTTAACTACGGCATAGTCAGGACAAGAGCAAACTTTAGTCTGGAGATAAATTTTTGGCTGTTAATGAGGCCATAGTTTTCTCAATATTTTATCTCATGTCACGTGTATTCATTACAAGTGTTTTTCTTTCCTTGCTGGGGGAAAGACAGACTCTTTCCATCCCTGTGAACTCTGGTAGTTACTGTATCCTCTGAACCCTACTTGCCCTGCCTTGAGCATGCATATTCCCAGATAATGGGCTGCTCAATACTCACCTGAAGTCTGTAAGGGACTGCTCTGTTGACCTCCTGAGCTTGCTTCTCTGTGCAACTTGCCTCTCTCTTCTCACAGCTGACGGAGATCTGTTTTGTGAACTCTGAGTGCCTGGCTACCTGAAAAGCTCACTTCCATCTCCTCAAGTTGAGACTTCTGGGTCTATTCCGATTACCTTCCCAGTTCTGTGGCCTGCAAACTCTCTAGGCAGTGACATTGGAAACTGCGTGATGGCTCACCTTGTTTGTTTTTATTCTTTCTCACCTGTAGTCATATGTTGCTTATTATATAATGTCTGAATCTACTTTTCTCATATATGTGTCCGTTTGTTGTTATGTTTAAGGCAAGAGATTAAATTCAGACCTATTCCTTCACCATGGCCTGAAAGGAAGTCTGAAACTATGATGAAATTTAAAACTGTAATGGACTGTGTGTTGAAAGTCACCTTGAGATAATGGCTTGCTTATGTTTTCCATTTTATTTTCCATTAATTAAAATGAAAATATTTTATGTACTAAAGTAGTTGATTTCTGTAACAGAGGGGAGAAAGTACTCAACCTCAGATACCTAAAAGATTTGGAAGGGATTTGTACTGCAATTTTTGTGGAAGGTAAATGTTCTCGGCTCAAATCTGTAGGAGAGAGTCTGCACATGCCCTGGAGCAGCTCTACTAGTTTGAGAATATTCTGAATCAAATTATTCTTTAATTTTGATAGAAAATGTGCAGACACAGAAAGAGCCTGTTACATTTATTATGTTAGCTGAGTTGTTAGTGGAGATATTTTACCCTAGTCTATTTATTACAATAGCAGCCTGCTAACATAGCTCCCGAATTCAAATTGCCTCCTCCAATAATCTAGTCTCTGGGCAGCCACCAAATCTTCATATTTTTTTCAGGCAGCCACTAGTGCTTTTTTCTTTTCTTCCTTCCTTCTTTATTTCTGTATTATTTTTGGTACAATAAATCATATCTTATTACCTCTTTGCTGAAAAACATTCAAAACCTATCATGCTTAGAATAAAATCCAAATTATTGACAAGACTAATACCCTTCATTATTTGTCTGCTTATTTCAATTACCTTATGTTTTGATTCTCTTATTATGCCTTCTTCTAAATTAACTGAACTATTTTTATTGTTCTATTGCATTTCCTAGTTTGATTATTAGCTATACCTGTATGTGTTATCAATTTGTAATTTCCTTAGATTTTTTTAGTATACATCTTTCACTTATCATTGTCTTTAAGTAATATTATACCTCTCAGGTATAATGTATGGATCTGACAGTCTTGGATTTCCACTTTTCTTCTTCCAGCGTATGAGCTATTATTAAAAGCAGGAAGAAGGAAAATAGTTTCAGATAGAAATCCAATCTACACAAGAAAATAAAGAGCACTGGAAATGGTAAATATGTGGGTAAATTTAAAAATAGATTTTTATTATTTTAAAAATATTTTTAAAAGATAATTGGCTACTTTCTGAAAAAAATAATATTATCCTGCCTCTCTTATTCATGTCACTTAGCATGCATGTTGGCCTACATTCAGTTGCTCACATATGCCAAGAATTTTCTACTTGAGGCTTGAAGAGACAGTTTTTTCCTGGCCGAGATATGACATTCACATTACACACACACATGCACACACAGACACACGCACGCTCACATTGCTCTGTCTCATCCTCTTTGTAGAGTCTCTACCTAATTTTCATGTCCCAGAACATCTTCACAACTAATCTCATTTAAACCATATCCAACTTGGTATCCTTTACCTCCAGATTCCTCAGTTCCACTCTGCACAGTTTGTAATTATAATTTTGGTTTGACATTTACTTTTTTTATGTCTCTCTACTAGTTCTGCAAGTTCCATGAGAGTAGGAGATATGGTTCTAAGGTCATATTTCCAGAATTCAAACAATGTCTGTGATTTTATGAAGTACCCATTGAATAATTTTAGAATGTGTGAAGGATGAACTTAGAAAACATTTCCTTATAAGTGGGTTTTCCTATTAAGACAGTCTTATAAAAGTCCTCTAAAATAATATTCCAACCTATCTACTTCATGCAAGGAGCAATGTGGCGTTATTTGGATTTTACTTACTTTGAATTGTTGTGTTCTAACTACAAAATAAGCATTACAAAATAGGCCAGTATGTTTTATTTTTAACATGTCTTCAGAACCTAGAAGAAAAGTTACCATATCCTTTTTTTAATCCCTTGAGCTTCTTTGAAATGACCCTGTCAACATCTCTCAGTGTTTCAGCAGTTAAAGTTGTTTCTTGGTCTGTTGCCAAAGGAAACACCGCAGGGATTTACACTGGCAACTTCTTTAAAAAAATATACAGAACATTTTAAAAAGTAAGTTGTACCTTGGAGCAATTCAAATCATTGTGTCACTTGTGATGAAAAGGCTATGTGCTGATATGTCATTATACTTATTCTTAGGGCCGATAATTGGTAAGGTTTGACATTCAACTGACTAGTTAACCTCTATAAGGGGATGCCAATGGACATCACAACCATAAAGTCATAGGCAATGTGGCTTTTCCAGTCAGTGGTTGTAGATATTCATATATGTACAATATGAAACCTGTAGAATAGGAGATGAATAGAATGTTTATCAAGATATAAAATGAAAAGATAATTTATAAATCTATTTTTTCATCTAAGTAGATTGTTTCTATAGTCATTATTTTAATGCATATTTGTTAAGTGTAGGCTTCTTAATTACACTCACACATATTATTTCAAATTTCATAAAGCGATTAGCTTTAGGATCATAACAAGAGATTATGCTATATCTTAATGGGATTTTTTTGAGTTCAGCTACCAGGTACCCAAATTAACATATATTTAGAGACTCACCCAGTGATGTTGTGACCCACATGAAAAACTTGGAAAATAATGAATAATTTTTGCTCAACCAGAACTTCATGGTATATTCCTTTTACATGCATAGATTCCATGCAGTTTCTTCAAGCTAGATTCTGCTATTTTTACTTTAGAACACTTTATTTCACCACCTAGATAATTCTGTGAAAAATGTGTCTCTTTAAAAAAAAGAAAAACAATAACCAAAACTATGTGCAAGTTGGTAATCTGGTGAAACACCTCTGTCTGGAAAAATATTTTAATAAATTAATTACCTAAATTATTAGTAATATTAAAATCTAGAAGGATGGCAAAATTTAAGATTAAATACAAAGTTTCACAAAGGAACAAAAGTCAGAGCTAACATGAATGTTCTATTTTAGTAATATATTCCTTTTACATTTTGAAACTTTACTGGAAATGTGTCATTTATAGACAGAAAAAATATATAAAAAATATAGAATCATTAATTTAGGTTTAATTTCCTGTAACATCAGGGCACCTGGGTGGCTCAGTGGGTTAAAGCCTCTGCCCTCGGCTCAGGTCATGATCTCAGGGTCCTGGGATCGAGCCCCGCATCAGGCTTTCTGCTCAGAGGGGAGCCTGCTTCCCCCTCTTTCTCGTCTGCCTCTCTTCTACTTGTGATCTCTGTCTGGCAAATAAATAAATAAAATCTTAAAAAAAAATTCCTGTAACATCTATAGAGTGTGAGAGCATAAGGATTTGGCATGGAAAACAAGCAGAGACCAGCATTATTCAGTAGTGACTAAAAAGTTTGTTAAAGTGGCAAATAAAATCAAATTATGTATATTGAATATCAGCTTACCCAGGACCTACCTTTCATTGAACCAAATATTTTATGAAATTCTACCACAGGTATCTGCAGGGCATCCTGGAATTCAAAGCAGTCGCATGTTTAAATTTTTTTTGTCTACTATTCACCTTGGTTATCAAAATTTTGATAAGCATAAAAGCCTCTAAAAATGTTGCTTTGACAAATTCTTTTCTCTCCTGGGAGAGAGCATGAAGAGAAAGAAACATTGGATTTTCAGGGAGTTGGAGAAGAAAAACACAACGTAAGCTAGCTTTATTTGTGCACTTTAAAAGCTATAAGGTTCTTTAAGCAATATTCCGTCTCATAAACTGCATCCCTTTAGTTAATAATAAATTTCTGAAACACAGCCTCTGGTTATGAAAGACCTTGAAGAAGCAGCAGAAACAAAGAAAAAATTATGTCTCCCAAGTTACAAGAACTTACATTCTCAAAAAATTTTTTCATGTTGCTGAAGTAATTTTGTTCTATTAAATTGGTTGTATATATGTATGTATATGTATGTATCTAATAGCATAGAGTAGGTTTTATTTAA